ACAAAAAAATAGCCAGGCATTCTGGTGGACACCTGTAGTCCCAACTACTCAGGAGGCTGAGGCAAGAGAATCGCCTAGGCCCAGGAGTTGGAGGTTGCTGTGAGCTGTGATGTCATGCCACTCTACCAAGGGTGATAAAGTGAGACTCTGTCTCCACAAAAAAAAAAAAAAAAATTTCTTTCTCTTCAACTTTAGTTATTCTGATTTTAATATGCTATAGTGAAGTCCTGTTGCAATATATTTGCCTGGGGATTGTGAGGCCTCCTGTATGTGAATGTCTAACTATCTTGCTAGTCCTGCAAAGTTTTCATTGATTATTTCCTGAAATAGGTTTTCTAAACTTTCTAATCTATCTTCCCCTGAGGAATACTGATTATTCTGAAGTTCAGTAACATTATATAGTCCCAGATATCTTCAAGGCTTTGCTCATTTTTTAAAATTCTTTTTTCCTTATTTACCTGACTAGATTATTTCAAAAGACCTGTCTTCAAATTCAGAGATTCTTTCTTCTGCTTGGTCTAGTGTATTCTTAAGTTTTTCAAATGTGTTTTGTATTTCCTTCAATGAATTTTTAAGCTCCAGAATTTTTGTTTTGTTAAATTTTTTAAGAATATAGCTATCTCCCTAGTAAATTTCCGATTCATACCTTGAATTAATTTTCTGATTTCTTTGTACTGGTTTTCAGATTTCTCTTGCATCTAATTGAACTTCTTTAGAATCATATTTGGAGTTCTTTATCTGGCATTATGAGGATTTCTTTTTGATTGAGATTCATGGCTGAATAATTGTTGTGGTCCTTTGATAGTGTCATATCTGCACATTTGATGTATCAGTCAATTAACTCAATTTTTTTGAAATTGCTTTTAAAGAGAAAGATTTTTTCCTAAAGATGTACTACATATATGTGTTGGTTGAGTAGGACACTTTGACTTTGATTTTGGATGTCTGCAGAAGTGTGATCTCTTGTATGATTTCTTAAGTAGTACATGGAGCCAGCGATATGTGTGATTTCCTTATAACTTAGGGTACGATTATTAGTTGTGGATGCTGTGAAGTTTTGCTGGGGACTTGCATGCCAGCAAATCCAGTCTTCAGGCCTCAGTGGTGACAGCAGTGGACTTAGTAGGCCTAATTTTAGGCCCCAGAGTAGCTCACACTGGCAGCAGCATTAGCGTGTTCTGGGGAGCCAATTCTTGGGCCTTCAAGTAGCTTTCTCAGAAGCTGGTAATTGGAGTAGAGGGCCAAGTGTGTGTGAAAGTTTTCAGGCCCTGTAGCAGCTAGCGTGATGCAGGAGGTGGCAGTAGTGGTGGTAGAGCCACCCAAGAAAACCTATGTGGTCCGTGTTGGTTTTACTGATAGCTGCAATGGATTGAGCAAGCTAGTCCCCAGTCCCACAGTTGCCTATAATAGGGCAGTGGATATTGTCTGAAGTGTGCTCGGGAACACTGTGTCTCTCCTGTTTCTTCTTGGCTGAGTGGCAGCCACATCCATGTAACCATGAACTTGGCCCAAGGATAGGATATGGGCCAGCATTAAACTCTCAAAATGACACCAGCTATGGGACTGCAATCTATTATCTGAGTAATGTGGTCCACTCATTTCTCACAGTCCCACAGGAGCCCATAGCAGGGTGGTGAGAAATGTCCTTGGTGTGTATAGGAGAAATTAAACTCCCCTGTCCCTCCTCAGCTAAGCAGGGCTGCAGCTGCATCAGCCCTAATTCACCCAAAGATGGGGCACTTCCTGGCTTTAAGCTCCCAAAATAATATCATGGGCCTGTAACCAGAGAGCATGGGTCCTTTCTCAGACAGGCTACACTGGCAAGAAATTGTGGAGTATGCAGTTCACTTGAGATTCAATCACACAGCACCCTGTGGCAGGATGGCCAGTATTATCCTAGATGTGTGTTGAAAACCTGGTTTCCCTGTCCCTCCCTAGCAAGGCAGGAGCTGTAGCTGGGTTAACCCAAAATCAGCATGAGGGTGTGAGTGAGAAGTTGTGAAAAATATGTTTGCTCACATCTCAGTCTCAATAGCAGCCCCCAGCAGGGTTGTGGGAACCTTCCCACAGGTATGTGGGAGAGCCTAGGCTCCTCTATCCCTCCTAGAGCCATACAGTGGCTGCAGACATGCCTGCAGTTTCATGTTTCTAGGTTCATATCCATGGTCTTCCATGTGGGTTCCCTTTCTGGAACACTGCCTCTGTGCAATCTCTACGCATCTCTATGTTAGGCTGGAGACATGTGTGGGTTGGGGAAATTCTCGTGTAACCAAAATTGTAAAAGCTTGTTTTGGAATGTGGAGCCCTATGGGCTTCTCTCTTACTGCTCATGCCCAGGAGCTTCTCCCAGCTTTTAGCCAGTCACTAGCTGGGCGAGTTGCCCTGAATGCTCCCCTTAATGACTTTTGGTGTTTGCCATTGCTTCCCTGCTGAATCTTAGCATTCTGTCCTAGACAATCTGTTGAAATGTCAGAATCTGCTTACTATTTTTTTTCCTCTCCATTGAGGAGTCAAATACTACTTGTCCAGGTAACCATCTTGATAAGTGGAATACCAAAAACAAAGAATTGACAGAATATAAAGAGATCATATACTCTGTATTAGACACAAATACAGGTGTATTCTTCCTAACAAAGAACTAGTCTGTGACTGAGCATTTTGTTGTATAAGGGAAAAGAGGTATAAGTGCCAAAATTAGAACTCAGTATTATATGCTTCCCGGACAGCTGGTGAAATTGGGAAGGCCTAGAATGGCCTATACACAAGTCCCCCTCTCAGCTCTGCTCCAGCAGATAAGATCCACTAAACACACTGCAAATCAAGGGGACCACGTGCAACCTCTGTTTATTCTTGACTAGCAGGTTTCAGTTTCCTGCCAGTCACAAAATTATTCAAACAAGCCAAACACAATCTACTTCAGGAAACAGGAGCTACCCCACCCTCTAGAGCCACTGGTTGTTCACTCTTCCTGAGTACAGTCCCTCCCGCATGGCCCTGAGTGGTGTGTGATGCCCACTTTCCCCAGGGTTATGAGTACATATGACTGAAAAACTGCTAACAAGCTCATCTGCCCAGGGTCAGATGTCATGTATTCAATCACCTCCAAAACTCTAGGGTAGGAATGGAGTTACAAATGTTTTAAGAGTCTTGCATCCTAAATCTTTTTAATAAGAGATTTGATTTTTTGGATCTTTGGTTCTTAGACCAGCTACACATTAGAATCATATGGGGACAGTATAGAAAATACTAGTATCAGGCTAGGAGCAATAGCTCATGCCTGTAATCCTAGCACTCTGGGAGGCTGAGGTGAGCAGATTGGCTGAGGTTAGGAGTTCGAGACCAGCCTGAGCAAGAGTAAGACCCCCATCTGTAAAAATAGCTGGGCATTACTGTAGGTGCCTGTAGTCCCGGCTGAGGCAAGAGAATCACTTGAACCCAAAAGTTTGAGGTTGCTGTGAGATATGACATCATAGCACTTTACCAAGGGCAACAAAGTGAGACTCTGTCAAAGAAAGACAAGACTAATGTCCTCTTCCCAACATCAGAGATTCTGAATCAATTAGTGTGTGTTGGGGCACAGGCCCTCGTATTCTTCAAGTCACACAATCAGTAATTCTGTGTATCTGAATCACCTGGGAATTTATCCTAGTGTCCAAAACATACATAGACTGATTCAATCAGAATTTCCTCTAGAGGTGGGATCCAGGCAACAATATTTTCTAAAGCTGTTCAGGTATTTCCAAGGTGGAGGATAAGTAGAGATTTAGCCTGAACAAATTCTGGTTTTTAAGGCACAGGTATATTATAAGTCAATGTTGTGATTGGCTTTAACATCTGTCCCAGGAGAAAACAGTAATAAGAGTGAGGTTACCTTTGCTGTAACAGTTTATCTCTCCTTCCCACAGATTTTTGGCTGTGGACTATGGGAGACCTAACCCTCTGTGACTAGTCCATCCCAAAAAGCTACAAAAATACCAGAATCTTAGACTGTTTTAACTATTGAAGACTACCTCAGTTGGCCAAGAGTCAAAGGCAGTTCTTATAAGATTCAAATATTGTTAGGGGATTGCCTTGGAGATTAGGTATGTGCACATAGTTGACTCTTCTCTATTGAGTACATGTATCAATGTTACATGATATTCTATATAAGTGCTGCCCCCTGCAGGTGTGCAAAAAGCTGACCCTTCCTAATATTTCCATCTCATTGCAATAAGAATCAAAGTATGATTTCGATGAGAGAGGAGAATCATTCATGATTGGGCAGACTCTAAAGCAGGAAGCCACAGGGCAGGCACAGAAAAGATAAGACCTAAAAGATCAGAAGGTTTGCACATTTCCAAGCACCAGCCAAGCAGCTAGAGTAAAAATTCCCCATGGTTTGCTCAAGCATGATGGTTTCAGTCCTAACCAGCTCAGCACTCTGATGGCTCCCTCAAGACTGGCCATAGGGGCTTCATAAAATATCCACGTGCTCTGCATGCATATCTCTTCAGAACTAATGTCAGAGCCCACACCTTGAATACTGACCTGGCTTGTTTCTTCTGGCTGATGCTTAAGGCCATCTTGAGCTCTGCCTATATTTTGGAGTGGATCTTTGGGATTTTCTTTCCCATTCCCACTACCTTCTTGAAAATGCTGTTATTCTCTCACATTTGCTCCTTCCTTGGTCATCAGAACAGCTCTATCCATTACCACTTTACACTCCATCTCTAGAGACCACAGTGGGCTAGAACTAAGCTTCCTAATACCCATTTTCCAGGAGAAATGAGAAAATGGGAAGGTTTCCATAAAAACAAATGGAAAGTATGCTTTCTTGCTGAGATACCAAGCCTGACCCATGCTCCTGGCTTGGGTCATACATCTGTTATGCTTTGCTCACCACACATAGCAATATATTTTAACTAAAAGTGAGCATGCTTCAGGAAAAAGCAGAAATGACACAGACAAATGCCTAGGAAAGATGTGGAATATTCATATAATAGTAGGAAATTAATACTTACAGAAGGATCATCTGAGTTAGTATCGTGAGACTTCAGTATCCTCCGCTGAAAAGAAAGACAAATCAAATGACCCTACTGAATGTCATACTTGCACATATTATTTATTTAAACAATCATTTGTTTAAGAGATTAAAAAAAAGAACGGTTGTTAAAAAATTGGAGCCAGGGATATCATTAGGTTAGGGTGATTTGAGAACTTGAAGTTCCTATGGAAGCAAATCAAAGTCCAATAAAAGCAACAAGATGAAACTGGACACATAACCAACCAGAAACTGCCAGCTAACCGCTAATTAGGATGTTTCTGCTCTCACCAATCAAATATATTTTCTATGTTTACTCCCACATCAGCCTCACTGTCTAACAGGCTATAGCAGAGCTCTCTAAACCTCTTCTGGTCTGAGTGCTCTCTGATTCATAACTTGCTCTTTACTCAAATAAATTCTGTTATTTGTGTAAAGTTTTTCTTTTAACACAGTCTATTGTTTACTTCATATCTAATTTTACAGATCTACATATCTACTAGGAGAATAAAAAATGCCAAAGTTTCACTGTTTGGCCCATGTGAGTTTCATTTCCTGGCCAAAGTGGGCCTTTGTGAAGCTGTGCAGGGAGTCTAGACCTGGTCTCCACAAGCCAAGTTGTAGAAACTCTACTTGTCCTCTTGCCCTGAGGAGCCCTCAGGGATTTCTCTTTATCTTGGCTCCTCAGAATTTATCATCCCACTCAGAGGGGCTGTAATCAGAGTCAGGTTGAGGACCCAACTGCTAGTGATCATAGGGCCCAGAGTCCTGGAGGCCATGAAAGTGTCCCAGAAAAGAATTCCACTACTTTCTTCACCCTTAGAGACACATCCCTGAGGGTCCCCAGTTCTGCAACTCTTCTTCCCCCAAAGTCTCCTCCTCTCTTCTCTATCCAAATCCCAAGAAAATGTCAGACCAGCTGACTTTTCAGAGGTGACCTACTACATTTATTGATTTTACTTTTAGATATCCAATAGCCTGCCTTGGCATCCTTCCCTTCTGGGATGCAGGAAACCTTGGCTTTTATGTCTAGCACAGGGATGAAAGGCCAAAATAAGTGTGATCCAAGTGACGATCACCTCAGAGGTGACCTTGGTTACTACCGGCCTCTCTGACTAGCCTAGAATCTATACCCCAGCCCATTAAGTTATTCCTCCATATTTACAATAAAATTAAAACAACCTTGAAGGTCAATCTTTTGTAATGGCCACTGGACATTTAGTATATGCTTAATAATTATAAGTTGAATGGGTGAATAAAGGAATATTATTTTACTTAGAGATCACTGGAGTTGCTTAAGCAAATATTAGCATACAATAAATGATTGTTCTGAGTGAGTATATCTGATTGTTTTATGACATCTCAGCTATCACCAGAGGGCTTAAGTGGCCCCTATTTTGAGCCAAGAAGCTGTCATGTGCTGCTGATAGGAACAGTAAAGTTTCCAGAAGGCAAAGTGGCTCTGAAAGCAAGAGAATTCAGAAAGGGGCCGAGGACTCATGAAGATAGGAATGGATCCTGAGATCTGCCACTTTGGGGATCTTCTATTCTTGCGTATGAGGAGACATAAAATACAAAGGCAACAGAAGCTTGTTGCTGCAAAGTTTCGCACCCACAAATAAGGGTAGAATATTAGCTGGAAGTTTCCAGCTTCTTTATGTAACTTAGACTGGGTTACTCTTGACACCTGGGGAAAGGTAGAGATCCTGGTCTTTAGTCTACATACTGAATAGGTCAAATAATATTTACCTTTCAGAAAACCTACTGAAAACCTACTGAACGAAATGTTCTAGTGGCCAAGAGTTGAAATCAGCGAGATAATTCAAAGGCCTAAATCTCAGCTTCCTGGTGGAATATGAAGCCCAGTGACTAGTTATGAGTGAGCTATTTTAGAAGTCAGTGAATGTCTTGGATGAATATTTCTACCTAACGTGTATAAGGAAGAGACTTTTTCCCTCCCCTCCTTCCTCAGGTTCTCATTCATATCCAGTCTTGAAAAAAACCATCACCTTGTCCTGAACCTACACTGCACTTAACCTATTTGTTGTTGCCTTCTTCAATAGAGAGAAAAATTACTTTCACAGATAAAGCGGTGGTCTGCACAGCCCCTCTGCACTCAGAAAACCTATATTCAATCTAGTGGAGCCAAGGAGGTCAACCTTTGCTATAAAATACTTTTATCTCCCACCACCTTCCTCCCCGATAGCACCATCCTCCTGAAGGGGAAATAATTTCCCCTTTGGAAAGACATCTGCTTGTCTGTGTGTGCATTTTACTGCAAGGTAGAAAAGGACGTGAAGGATCACAAAGAACTACTGATTTTGTTGCCTGTGTCATGAAATAATATTTAGTTTCATATGAAAGTTTGCCAAATGACTCAGCAAACTTTTGTCCCATCAGATTTCATTACAGTTAGGAAAAAGTGAAATCAATGGAAAAAATCTGGGTTTGAGTTGAAGATAATGCTCCCACCTTATTATGAAACATTGTTATGCATTCTAAGATTGTGTTTGCTCTTCTGACTTTGGCACCCTTGAAAGATCTTCATCTATTGCTAAAACACATCCAGGATGTCTTTTTTTGATGGCTCCTTGTCATCTCCATCTTAACTGGTTTAATATTCAAGGAAGATCTAGCTTTATATACAACATAGTATTCAAAGTAGCCATTCTGAAGGAACTAGAGGAAGTGAAGCTTTCACCTCCTCTAGTTCTATAATTACCAAATTCAAACTCCATAAAATAAGGTGTAAAATCAGCTCTGTGATAAGAAGAGTTCTAAAAGAGCTATAAAAGTTACATAATATCACCTTTTTCCTCCCATTATATACTCTTGAAGGATGAGGTAGCATTCCACCCTGAAAGGTAAAAAGATCTAGGTCAGCCTGTATTTCTGTTTTAGATTCTGGCATTTCCCATCACCTCCCAAATATTTCTACCTGGATATCCCACTGCCAGCTTAAACCCAAGGTGTCAGAAAAATGATCTCCCACTCTTCACCAATATTCCTGTACTTCTTCTAAATTTTAATCAATGAAAGCTGGAAAATCATCCTTAGAACCGTTTCCCTTACTCTTGTGCTTCTCTAAGTCCTAAGAGGCTTTTCTTTATAATATCTTGTTTATCTATCTACCACTTCTTTTCCATTCCTACCAGCGGGCACTCTGGCTAGAGGCTCTACACAACAGTCATCTAATCACACAGTTATTACATGCCCACTGGGTATCAGCCACTGTGATCGATCTTGGGCATATAAAGATGGACAAACCTAGAGGGATCTAGAGACAAAGACAGACCTGTTGGAAGACTCAATATAAGATGCGTAGGAAGAATCTTAGTATTGAGTTTAGGAAGCATAGGGGAGGTATGAACAGGGTTCAGGTCAGTCGTTGAATATTCAGGGAAGGGTAACATTTGAACTGATCATTCTAGAATGAGCTATAGGCTTGCTAGATACAGAGACAGGGAAGTCATTTCAAAGCCCCATAGCCATCTAAAATAATTCTTTAAATGTCATTACCAATCTCAGAAGATTTCCTTGATTCCCTGTTGTCTAGATTATGAGTTTGAATTTCTCAGCTTGGCATTAAAGCTCTCTCTAACGGATGGATTATGCCTTATTACACATCATCTTTCTACCTAAATCCACAGAACTGCTTCTGCCACAGTTCTGGTTGTCATGCTATTCTTTCTCTGGAGTGACTTCTCCCACTTGACTTTCTAAGAACTTCTGGTTCACAATTGTCTGAATACACCCTAGTCAGAATGACCTTTCCCTCCACTCAAGCTCCTGTCTCTATCCTAACAGACCAACTTTTATAACCTTGATGTCCTGCACTGTACTATGGTTATGAATCCTCTTTCTTGCTGAGTGAGAAGATAAACTCACCGGCATCATGACTCTATTTGTAACTCAA